TATTTAAAGAAAATAATATCATTTGTTCACAAATTCTTCTAAAAGGGCAGGAATACTTGCCAGTTCATCTCACAAGGCCAGTATTAGTCTGATTTGAAAACCAGAGACATCAAAAAAACAGACTACCAACCAAATATTTCTTATGAATATATGTTATGGTTTATATCTAGATGTTCCCCCTGAAGCCTCATGTGCTTAAGGTAGGGCTTTTTGAAAAGATGATTGGATTACAGAGGCAGTATAGCTGGCTTCCTGTTAGGAGGCAAGTGCTAGAAGTGGGTTACTGAGAGCATGATCTGGAAAGATGTATCTCCCTACCTATCTCCTTCCTTTGCTTTCTGTCTGCTTCCTGGGTGCTATGAGATGAGTTTTCTTTCCCCAAACCCACCCACCATACTTTTTTGCCTTGGTCCCAGCCAACGATAGACGGAAACATGTGCCAAAATTAATTTGTCCTACTTTTAATTGTGGGTGTTATTTTGTCCCAGTGACAGGAAAATAACCAAGGAACCAGGGATGTAGCTCAGGGGTGCAGCGCCTGCCTGGTGGGCGTGAGGCCCTGAGTTTGATTACTGGTATAAAAAATCCAGCAAAAGTAACCAAGACAGATTTTTATATCACAGAAGTGGGGTCATTGCTGTAACTACTGACTGTGTGGCTCAGAAGCCTTCAGAACTGGTTTTTAGTTGGAGTTTAAAAAGGTTTGGAGATGCCTGCTAGAGAAGTCCTAGAATGCTGTGAGCCAAGCTTAATGGGACATTCTGGTTGGAGCTCAGAAGACCAGAATTCTCATAGAAATGCAGATAGTAGAGAACAGTCTCATGTGGTTTCACCTGGGAACAGACTCCATTGGCAGTTGGACTCCAAGCCATGTGTATTATGCTGTCTCAGAAAATTTGACTACATCTTTCTCAGTCCTGAGACTTTGCAGAAGACTGAGATTAAGGTTGATGGGCTAATATTAATCTAGTGTCGGAAATTTTAGGGCAGCCCAATAATCAAGCTATGGAGTACTATTTGGGGGGGTCTTAGCCAGCTCTACATTGAGAATCAAGAGCAAGCAGCATTGCTGAATGATTTTAAAAGTTTCAAGTTTCACCAGAAACTCCTGTAAAGCTTGCAGTGACTTCCTGGGGAGTCGGGGGTAGAAGAATGCAAAAGTGCCATCTGCTCACTGAAGAGCCAAAGGATCCAGTCAGAAGGTGAAGGCCTAAAACTCATGGGAGAGTCCAGTGCAAGTCTGTATTGGAAAGACAAAGGGCCCCCATTAGAAGGCTGAAAAGTCTGTGCTGAAAACCTGAAGACCCTGGAGACAAAGATCTACAGATGATGGTGAAGGCTGAAGCTCCTCTGAAGAAGCAAAAGGAAAGACTTCCTTTATCTTTTCCTTTTTATTCCATCCAGGCTAGCTACAACCACTGGTGCCATCTACTTCCAGGTCTCTCTTCAGTGTGTGTTTTATAAGTCATTCATCCAGACACACTCAGAACTGTCCTCCATTAATTTGCTAGACATTTCTTATTCAAGCTGATACCACAATTAACTGTCACACACATTTTGACCCCCAAAACTTTATCTTCCACAATTCCCCTTCTATCCAAAGGAAGCCTAGAAGTTCTTGAGTATGTTTTTGAGTTGGTCCTGGAACCAAGGGAAAATACCACAATGGTTTATGTAAATGGATAAGCAATAGTTTTAAGATATCTGACTATATTTTATAATATATAAGTACTTATATAGTGTTTATATTAATTTAAATATATATTAAATTCTTGGGCTTGGGGATGTAGCTCAGTGGTTAATTGCTTGGCTAGCATGTGAGCTAGGTTCAGTTCCCAGTACCACATACAATGTGCTCGCTTGGCTGCAAATATACCAGTACCACATAAAAAAAAAAAAAAAAAA